CTTTTACTTTTAATTAGGTGAAAACCTCTGGAACATTGAAAATCGGTTTTCACCAGCCTGTTCCAATATGATATATCCAATAAAACTATTCTTTGAGGAATCTACCTGCCTTGGAGTTCTGTTTGCTATGGGTGTATTACTTGGGACCCTGACAGTAACTAAAAGTATATTTTTCTATACAATCAAGAGCCTTGGTACTACAGTGGTTTAAAGCACCCTGTTATTAACACAGCTGCCTGCAATTTACTGCTGGTTCGAATCTCTCCAAGGCTCAAGGTTGACTCAGCCTTCCATCCTTTCTAAGGTAGGTTAAATGAGGACCCAGTTTGTGGGGGCAATAAGCTGACTTTGTATAAATATACAAAAGTATGAAGGCTATTGCTGAATGCACTGTAAGCCGCCCTGAGTCTCCGGAGAAGGGCGGCATATAAATCAAATTAAAAAAAAAAAAAAGAAGTCATTTGATCTTTTGATTCAAAGATCAAAAATTGATCTTTCAAGCCTTCTGAAATACAAATATTAAAAATAATTGGCTGAGTTTTTCTGGTTTTCATAATTTTGCTTGAGAGGAATGTTGGTCTCATGGCACAACAGTTCCTTTTTTTTAATACTGTAGATGAGTCATTAATTCTGGAATTAGGAGATCAAAATCTCCTGCCACAGATATGTAAGTAGTGTTATAAACATGGCACATTGCTGTTCTTATTGCACAATGAGCAACCTGACAATCTGCTCTTGTTTATCTCAACTAAATTACAACTAATATTACCCCACATAGATAGAAGTGCCTACTTGGATTCATACTGAGCAGTCTTTTCATTCTGTCAGTAGAGAAGGCTGAGAATGAATACATTTCTTCAGTCTGGGATTTTTTGTATGGGGAGTGGTAATTTCTCTATAAGAACACAACAGTCTAATCCTATTTATGGGAGAAGTCCCATAGTGATGTGGATATTTATGGAGGGTTCTTGACTAACACTATTTTTAATTTGTTTTATATTATATGACATAATATGCTCTCTGAATACCATGGGAAGTGGACCTGCTTGGAGTAAAATGCAGTATCAGCTCTGATTAACCACTGTGAATTAGTGCTTCTGTAATTGGGAAAATAGTTATCTTTAGGCTGAAGGCAAACTTCTCTTCAAAAATCATATTCAGTGGGTTGATTCGTACATAATTTTTCTTCTAAAAGATCTATTGAAATCCATAAATGTTACTTGTGATTTCAAAGAGACTATTCTAAATATGGTTACAATTTTAATATCTCTATATTTTTATATGTCTAAAAGTTTATTTCCAAAAAAATGGTTTTAAATAGTTTAAGTTAAAAAAACTAATATTTAAAAAAAGCTTAAACAAGTACTACTAATTAATGCAGTTTTCAAAAGAGTTCATTATCACTAATGGAGTTAAGCTTATGAATTGTAAATTAAGATGACACCAAAAGCATTTTACAAATTTATTTTAGTTTGTACCAGGTAGCAACTATATCATGAGTGTTAAAAATATAGAAACAGATACAAACCAGAACGAACTCAATTTTACATGAGTTCATTGTTCAAATAATCAATGCATATTGTGGGTAACAAAATTTAAGTTTGCTGTGGTTAGGCTATCAATAATATTCTGAAAGTAATATATAGTCAAAAGTTCTATTTAATTCTGATATTTATTTCTAGAAAAATTCATATATATTAATACAACTATGAATCTGAGCTATTTTATCCTTTAAATGCCTGGAAAATTACTCCAGATGTCCTTGTAGATGGGCCTCCAGATTCCGTTCTGAAGAACAATCTCCACATGTCCTTGTAGGTGGTTCTGTTCCGAAGAACAATCTGAGTGACCCAAAATAGGGCCACTGAGTGGCATTCTGTGGAATGTAGTAAGAACAGAGAAGAATTTATGCTTTACCACTCTTATCACCAGCAGGTAAACTTCAATAGTAGCCTTAACTCATATTTGGTCAAGTTCATTCCTCATTTTTCTCCAGTGGCACCCTTTTCTAGCACCCTTTTCAGCTTCCTCAACTCCTCCATAAATTACAGGAAGTAACAAGGGTGATGGGCCAAGGAAAGCCAAATAGGTACAATTCTGTCTAAGGCTCTCTCTAATGGAATGGAACAACTCACCTCAGCCAATTCACCATGATCAACTTGCCATGGCCAATTCACCACAGCCAACTTGCTACTGCCAACTTGCTGCGGGACAATTCACCATGCCAACTCACCAAGGGACAACTCACTGTGGGACGATTCAACAATTCCATTTAATTATTTAAAATTTTTTTTAAAAAATATAAAATTTATCATTCACATTCCTTTTGTCCCTCCTTTGGCATCCTTTCTTTAATGATTCTATTCCACTATTTCTTCAATATTAGTGTAACTCCTGTCCAGTGATGAGTTGCCCAACAGCAAGTTGGCTGTCGTGAGTTGTCCTGTGGCAAGTTGGCTGCAGCAAATTGGCCATAGCAAGCTGGCTGTGGCAAGTTAGCCATGGTGAGCTGGCTATGATGAACTGGCCTTGGCGAATTGTATTGTTAGGATAGTAGGATTATCTGAAAAGGCCAATTTTCAATTTTGAAAAGGATATTTTTGAATTATGGTGTAGGAGAATAACTTTGACCACAAGAATAAATAATTCAATACATGATGAAGTAAAACTACACTGTTCGCAGAAAATATTAACAATGATGTTAAAACTTGAATATTTTTGACACACAATGCTTAGGCAAGAGCTTTGGAAAGGATCTTGATGAAAAATCAGAGACAACAACAACAACAACAAAAAGCTGCAGGAGATAAGGTGACCAGATAGTGATTAGATACCATCATTGATTGTATACATATAGATTCTGCTGGAAATTGGCACTCTAATTTTGCCATAAATTATTTTGACTTCAAAGTGTTGTAGGAAAGACAAGACTAGGCCAAGCTCTTCATTGTAGGAAAGTTTTATTTGCGCAGGTTCAAACTGCAAAAGCAAGCAAAATGTCTGAACCCCGAAGGGTTGCACAAAGTGAGGTTTATATAGTGATTAATACGTAACAGTTGCTATATAGACATATAAGGTAATATAAGGAACTAAACCGTTCCTTCCAGACATGGGAGTTGAGATAATATAGCAAGGGAGTAACATATGTTATCTAAGTCTGGCATGTGACATCTTGAGACAGCAGTTCCCAGAGAACAACAGGATGCATCTGTCTGGGTCATGAAGACAATAATACATACTTGCTAATACAGCAATTTATCTAGCTGACAAAAGGGAACCAACTCTGGTTTCAGGCCTGTTAATATCAAACATTGGTTCGAACCAAGGATTTGCCTACCTCATTTCCCCCCTTTGTGACTCATCTGAAGTTTCCAGAAGAGTCACATACTCAGGTTCTTCTCTCTGGAGACGTTCATATTCCCACATGGCCATCACCTGAGCAGTGGCTTTTCTTTCGACCAACATGGACAAACTATTTGATAGGGTTCTTAACATAATCGGCAACACACAAGGTATTATAACACATCCAGTTGCAATCAAACCAATAAGTGCCATGATAGCCTGTAATCCGGGAAGTTTAGGAAACCATTCACCAAACATTCCCTTTAAATCAAAACCTTTCCATATTTGAGGTGGACTGTGTGTGAGTTGTCTAATTTCAGTTGTAAGCTGCTTAACAACCTTACCGGTTTCATCAATCTGCAAGCAACAATTGGATAAATTAAATTTTCCACAAACTCCTCCTTCCTTTACTAACAAGTAATCTAAAGCTAGCCGATTTTGGTACACAGCTGTCCTGATTTTATCAGTGGCCTCCGATAAGATATTAAGTGCCTTATCTAGTTGGGTTTCAGGCCTGGGCACAGCACGGAAACGGCATTGGGACAGGGGTTGCTCCTCTGTTCTGGTCCTGTTAGACCTCTCAGCGGCTTTTGATACCATCGACCATAGTATCATGCTGCACCGGTTGGAAGAGTTGGGGTTGGGGGGCACCGTATTACGGTGGTTCTCCTCCTTTCTCTCCGACCGGTCGCAGTTCGTGTTGGCAGGGGGGCAGAGGTCGACCTCAAGGCCTCTTATATGTGGAGTGCCTCAGGGGTCGGTCCTCTCGCCCCTCCTGTTCAACATTTATGTGAAGCCGCTGGGCGAGATCATCCGTGGCTTTGGGGTGAGATACCACCAGTACGCTGATAACACCCAGCTGTACATCTCCACCCCAGGCCACCCCAACAATGCCCTTGAAGTGATACCCCAGTGCCTGGAGGCTGTGCAGATCTGGATGGGGAGGAACAAGCTCAGGCTCAACCCTTCCAAGACTGAGTGGCTGTGGTTCCCGGCATCCCGATATAGTCAGTTGACTCCAGTTGACTCCATCACTGACTATTGGGGGCGAGTCGTTGGCTCCCACTGAGAGGGCTCGCAATCTGGGAGTCCTCCTGGATACGCAGCTGTCCTTGGACTACTGCAACGCTCTCTACATGGGGCTCCCCTTGAAGAGCACCCGGAGGCTCCAACTGGTCCAGAATGCAGCAGCACGGGTAGTGACGGGAGCAGCATGGTGCTCCCATGTAACACCGCTCCTGCGCGATCTGCACTGGCTCCCAGTGGTCTTCCGGGTGCACTTCAAGGTGTTGGTTATCACCTTTAAAGCGCTCCATGGCATAGGGCCTAGCTATCTTTGAGACCGCCTGCTGCCACCGACGACCTCCCATCAACCCGTGCGCTCCACAGAGAGGGCCTCCTCGGGGTGCCATCAGCCAAACAGTGTAGGCTGGTGACCCCCAGGGGGAGGGCCTTCTCTGTGGGGGCACCTACCCTCTGGAATCAACTGCCTCCAGAGATAAGGAGAATCCAAGACCTCAGTGCCTTCCGCCGTGCCCTTAAAACCTTCCTTTTCCAGCAAGCCGGGCTGGCCTAATTTTTTAAGTGTTTTTTAAGTGTTTTGTTTATTGTTTTTAATTAACGGGGCCAAATTTATATATGTATATTTTTAACTGTATTTTAATATTTGTATTTGATGTTTTTACTTGGCTGTTCACCGCCCTGAGTCCTCAGGGAGAAGGGCGGTATACAAATTCAAAATAAAATAAAATAAATAAAAAAATAAAATCTATTCTTATCCCAGCCAAATCCAACACTGCCTGGAGCCTAATGATCCAGTTCAGCATATAAATTGGTGTTCTATATCCCCAAGAATCATCTTCAGCCCAGGTTGCTCTTCCATATGTACAGACTATTCTTTCATTTGTCCATACCTCATCTACCTTCTCATATGCAGACAGCTCCTTACATGGGAAATCCGAAAAAGCAGTAGAGATTTCCCTCCTTACTCTGTGACCAATCTGTTCATACAATGGAACCACTAATATTTGCCTAGATTGTATAGGAAGGAGGAAAAAGGACGGCTTAATCCATTCTAAAACACAGGAACCTGACTAATTATACAGAAGTTCTTCATAGGCCAATTTTCCACAAATCCAAAACATATTTTTAGGTGCTATCCATTCCTGGGTAGGTTACAGATCAGTGAGATAGTTTAGGAATGTAAGGTTAAATTTATCAGGTGCAGATAAATTACTAGGAGACGTCCACTGTTGATACCCAACAAGCCAAGACCCCAAACAGATCAACTGCCCAACATCTTCTGAACCTTCTCTGACAAAACAATTTCTTCCCACTAAATTAGTGGTAAGTGTCCTGACTATACCTGACAGATGCACCCTTTTCGTGATATTTCCAGCCCGGGAAAGGTTGTTGTAAACCGATGGATTGGCCTCCATCGCCTCCCAAGGCCATTGCTCTCCCATATTAGTGCCTCCACACACAAAACAGCTCTTAAGCATTAACGTCTTAGCCACTTCCTCAGCCAATTCTATAAACAGATTATTAGCCTTAGTACTGATTGGTAAAGGCTTATGCAATTTTTGCAAATTATTGTATACAGACCATCCCAATGATCTCACTTCTCCTTCAAAAACTTGTGCAACTCTGATCGTCAGATACGTCTGTGGATCTTTGCCTGTTCCATCAATTCCAAAACCATAGCTTGCTACTGGTGGGTGAGTGCAAGCTAGCTCCATTACCACTTTATTATTAGATCCTCTTCTAAATGAATCAATGTGTTTGCAACCTGCATAACCTCCTCCAGTGAAGTCACACACACATTTCCAACCTGAACATTGTGTACTGCCAGCACATGGGAGCCATTGATTGGGATTCCCATATGCCCAATTAAAATTGGATTGGCACAAATATTTGTGATTATGAATGTATGTGTGTATCCATACCTGATCTCCACACGGTGTTCCTTTTCCTTTATTCATGGCCACACATGCATCAAAACTCAAAGATAAGGGTTGCTTCCCTTGTTTCAACTGAAGAGTATAATTTAACAAATATAACCGTCCTTCACCTTCCGGATCCTGACGAGTTCCTTCCTTGGCTAAGCCTGCCCACAGTGTCACATTCAGGCGGATGGGAACAGCTGGATTATAACATATGGTTTTGTTTTGAAGCAAGCATAAACTGTACATAGTATGATTATGAACACATGTTGCATCTAAAGACATACACCCTCTCGGAGCTTGTGTGTGATATATCAATGTATTAATAAGCTTGTCTCCCACTCTCGCTTTTGTCACACATGGAGCACACCTATCTATTTCTTGACTAACCTCCTTTCCTCTACCCTTCAGATGTTCAACTTCCCTAGGTTTCTGAGTTTTCTTGGTACCTTTCCTAGGGGCTCTCAAGGTAACCCCAAATTCTATCTATTGCAAATGTAAAACACAAGTCCCCTGCCAACCGAGTCTCAACTGGGCTATAGTAGTGACCCGCTCCCATCCCCAGTATAAGGGATTACCACATTCCAAAGTAACCGGAGGGCTCCCCCCTTTGTAAGGAGCTTTAATACATATTCCTATTCTAAAAGCATAAGCCACATATTGACAGGCCTTTGGGTTTGAGTAACCACGGTTCTGGCAGGCAATCGTAACAATCCTATCAAATGCTTGTGGATATTGACACGGATGTGGCAAAAGACCATTCCAGCATTCAGGGGTGAAAGAGAAAGGCGGAGTTCCATCACAACTGCCAGATCCCGCGGGGTTGTTCATCAGGGTCACTCCATTGACCTAAATTAGTAATACATACATGATTAGTTAACACAATTGATACATATACTAAAAGAAAAAGCATAACTATTTGCAGCTCCATCGCCGTTCACATCTTCACCTGTGCATAGAAAGCCAGCTTCCGGAGTGACTCAGCAGGGGTCTCTTCACTGCTGTGCGTAGAGAAACCTATTCCCAGTAAGGCTTCAGCAGAGCAGCTCACTGGTGCTGTTTTCGACTAAAAGTCAACTTGGTCGGCTTTTTCTGATCAACCGTCACCGTCCAACCAAGGTCAGCAGCTGGTTTAACACGTGTCCAATGTATCCACGACTTGGATTCTGCAATTTTAATAGCAAGCAGGGAGGCCATGATAACAGTATATGGTCCTTTCCATCTGCCCTCTAACTGTTCCTTTTTCCAATGTTTAACCCACACCATATCTCCAGGTTTGTACAGGTGGCAGCGAGTAACCACCTGTACAACCAACAGGTTCCTCTAGGAGGAACCTGTTCCATCACATACTGCTGGAGCTTCTCAACCTGTTTCTTAAGTTCCTGTACCAACTCTAAATTCCACACACACCCCTTATGACCTAAGTCTGGCCACCCCGTGAGATTCTTTCATAAAAGATTGGGAGGGGGGGCCAAACATGAGTTCATATGGTGATAACTTATGCTGTCCCCTTGGGGAGCTTCGAATTGCATACAGAGCCAAAGGAAGGGCATCTGGCCATTTAAGATGGCTTTCAGTACAGATTTTGGTAATACTTTCTTTCAAGGTGCGGTTCATACATTCAGCCAACGTTCCCGATTGAGGATGAAATGCACTGTGAAACCTCCAATGTATGCCCACCGCATTGGCAACTGCTTGATTAACTTGGTGGACGAATTCAGGGCCATTATCTGAAGCGATATGACCGGGTATACCAAATCTGGGAATGATCTCTTTCAGCAGAATTCGAGCCACCTCCCTTGCTTGTTTAGTCTTTGTGGGAAAAGCCTCTGGCCAGCCAATATACATGTCAATCATGACTAACAGTGCTTTATAAAATCCACACCTTGACATATCAGTGAAATCTATCATAACATAATCCATTGGAATGTAGGACTTGGGTATTGCTCCAGGGGGCAGCAGCGGTCCTTGTCTTGGATTGACTCTGGCATAGGTGACACACTTGGCAACCGTCCCTGCAGCAATACTGTCAGGGCATTGATTAATCCCATTCTGCTTTTGGGATAATTGTGCCTGATTACGAGGAGTGGATCGAGACCTTTTCCTTGTTGCCTACTTTAAGAAAACAAAACCCCGAAGAAAATATCTTCTAAGAAAAATCATTTATTTGTTATAAAGAAAATAAAACATCTCACTAACTAAGAAAAGTAATTGTTACATTTTGAATAAAGTTCATGCCAGCTGCTTTTCTCAGCAGCCGACACCTCTGGCAAGAGAACAAAGGAAAAAGTGTGAAGCAAGTGAAAGAATGCGGACATGCGTAGTATCAGTTACTGATAACAATTCTTGGCAAGCTACGGAAAGTCTGATAGTCCAGAAATAATGAGCTCAGCTGGTAAATAAAAAAACGCAGTGACATCCCCTTCTTTTGCCAGTTGAGCGAATATCAGTACATCATCAAATAAGGCACATCTTCAGATACTGCAGATACTCATGTTGAGCTGCTGGAAGTGGTTTGTTGAGCATATCTACAATTTGATCATGTGTAGATACATACTGCATTTTAACAAAACCTTTTTTCACTAAATATTTTATGTTTTGATAACGGATGTCAATGTGTCTGGACCTAGAACCTGTGAAATGTGATTCAGAAATATAAACCACCGATTCATTGTCTTCCATCACGGTGATCGGTTGGATCGGGTGTGTCCAGATATCTGTGACTAAAGCATCAAACCAAGTTAGAGAATTACATGCATCTGAAACACAAGCATATTCAGCTTCAGTAGATGAACAAGAAACAAAATTCTGTTTACGTACTTGCCAATAAACAGGACATCCATTTAAGAACATCATATAACCTGAAGTACTTTTACATGATTTCTTATCACTTGCCCAATCAGAATCTGCATAACAACATAATTCTGCATAATCAGTATGTGTTGGTTCTAACAATAACTTCATATGTTTAGTGTATTTTAGGTATCTCAATAATTTCTTAATGCATGTCCAATGAAACTGTTTTGCCTTACCTACCTGTCGAGACAAGAGATTAACACTAAGTGCAATGTCGGGTCTGGTCCAACTACTAATATACAACAGTGACCCAATAACTGAACGATAAAGTGTTTGATCCTCGAACTCAGGACTTGCTTCTTGTGTCAAGTTGTGAAAAACTGTTTGCATGGGTGTCTTTGTTGTGTTAGCATCTTTCATGTTGCAATGATGCAAAATTTGTTCAATTTTATCTTCTTGTGAAAGACTAAACCCCTTCTGTGTTTTTTCAATCTGAACACCTAAATAAGTGCTAATATGACCTAATGATTTCAATGTGAAGTATCTCTGCAAAGCTTTAGCAAAAATTTCACTCATTTGCTTATTTGGACCAATATAAACAATATCATCAACATAAACAAGAACTATCTCAGATGCATTGTTAGATCTTTTTGTGAACACGCACTCATCAGTTTCGGACTTAATAAAGCCCATTGAATTTAGTTTGTCAGTAAGACATAAGTACCACATTAAACCAGATTGTTTCAGACCATAAAGATTTTTGTTTAGGAACCAGGTATCCCCTTCTTGCTGTCGGAATCCTGGAGGACTTCTCACGTAGATCTCTTCATCTAGGTCTGCATGTAGATAAGCTGTGTCAACATCGAACTGGAAAACTTCTAAACCAAGGATAGTTGCAGTTGCTAAAGCAATTTTTACACTCTCAGTTCGAACTGTCAGTGAATAGGTATTTGTGTAGTCCTCAGGATAACGTTGAGTGAAACCCTGAGCTACAAGTCTGGCCTTGTACAGTGACTCACCATTTGGTTTCTTTTTGATTCTGTAGACCCATCGAGTGCCAATGACCTTTTTGTTTGCTGGAGGTTTTGCAGGTGTAAATACTTTAAGTTTCTTTAGACTGTCCATTTCAACCTGCATTGCATCATACCATTTGTCTTGCTCTGAATCAGGAAGCTGCTTGATTTGTGTGAAATTATCAGGTGGGAGTGTAACATTGCAAATCAAAGGCAAGGGTGCTTTTGTCAGTTGCCAAGAATATCGTTGTGGACGGATTCCTTTTGTGGCCCTTTTGGAACGTCTCGGAACAACTGTCCAGTCTTCTTCTGCTTCGTCCTCGTCCTCACATTCATCGCTAGCATCAGCATCTGCGGCTTGCGAAGACGGAACATCGGGTTGAGAAGAATCAGTGGAATCTTGATCATTAATCTGCGTGGCATCAGCAGTATCATCTCTAGGAAAATAAACTCCAGGACTGGTCCAGGATCATTGGAATGAATCCTGGACCAGTCAATATCTTCCTCAAAATTAGCAAATTGGGAAATCACAATTACATGTTTAGAGGCAATAAATTTGCTCCATTTTGAATTATCATCAATACCCATAAATCTCAGTCTCTTTGCTGCTGGACTTCCTTTTCTTCTTTGAGCTAAGGGAATGTTCACCATAGCATATGAACCAAAAATATGGATATTTTTAAGATCGGGCTTGTACCCATACAACATGAAGAAAGGAGTCTCATTTATTACACTGCTCCAAGTACAGTTGACAATGTAATTTGCATATTTTATAGCTTCACCCCAGTATATCATATCAAGGTTGGCGTCTTCTAGGAGACAACGCATCATGGTTTGCAGGACTCCTTGTCTTCGTTCTACGACCCCATTATGAGCCAGTGTGTAAGGGGCCAAAGTCTGATGAAGAATTCCATTCTTACGCATCCAGTCCTGGAAACGCTGAGACATGAATTCAGCACCACGATCACTCTGGATTCTGGTGATGCGAACTTGGTGTTGGGTAGAAACAAGGGCTGCAAAGTCTTTAAAGATCTGAAAAGTCTCAGATTTTTCTTTCATAGGATATACATATCCATATCTAGAGTAATTATCAACAATTGTTAGAAAATATTTTCTGCCACCAAATGATGGTGGAAAAGGACCAACTATGTCAATGCGAACCAAATCAAAAATGCGTGTTGACAGGCGTGTAGCGCGTTTGGGAATGGCTGCTGCTTTGGATTTGGCCTTTTTACATACAGCACAATCCAAAAACACCTTACACCCCTTTAGATCCAAACCTTTTGCGAACTCCGGCATTTTCCTAAGAACACGGAAACTGGCACACCCCAATCTTCTGTGCCATTTATGGATACACCTAGAATGCAAAGGTTTACCAGTTAGTGAATTCTCAACATTAACAGTTTTATGAGGAACCTCAGGCTTGCTCTGAGCAACCTGTTTACCAATTCTCTTTTTGTTGGCTTTAGGAGCCTTTGTAATAGCAACAGGATCTCTCTCTGGAGCATCTCTCTCTGGGCCTGTGCTCTCCCTTTTTGGAGTTTGTATACTTGCCTGTGTTTGCGGTTTAGGCTTTGGCTTTAAGTAATAAACACCACCAATTAATATGGTTCCAGCAACAATATCTCCATCTTTAACTATGTAACTTGCTTTCTCAAGGTGGTGAACCTGGAACTTTAACATTCTAGACAAGTGACACTGACTAAGCAAATTACTGGTTGCTGTTGGTATGTAATAAACATCAGGAATGAATGCATCGAGCTCTTCAACATAAACAGTTCCTTTTCCTTTGACCTGACAAGGATGATTTGAAAAAGAATAAAGTTCACATAGTTCAGGTTCAGGATCGTGCATTTCTGTGAAGAGTTCCTTTCTGTAGGTAACATGCAATGCTGCACCACTGTCCAAAGTCCACAGGAGTCGTCTGTCGTACTCTGGTTGAGGTTGTGGATCATTGGTTAAAGCCAATGTGGCGAGTGGAGTTTGTGGATCACGCCGGGGACCACGACGACCTTGTCTTCCGCCTCTGCCTCTGCCTCTGGAATCTGTTCCTCTGGGCTGGTACGTGACGGGAGCTGGAACTCGTTGGGGACAATCCCGGGTGGCATGTCCCACACGATTGCAGGTGTAGCATCTTGGCATCCTTGGAGCGTAGGTCCTTCCTCGGAAGGGGCGCCTAGCTGGAGCTCTTGATGCGGGTGGTCCTCTCAGGTGTGGCGTGGCCAACATGTATGCCTCTTCTTCAATTAAAAGTCTACAGACATTGTCCACTGTGCGTTGAGCAATTGGGACTTGGTTAATTTTTTGTAACAGCATCTTTCCATTCATAATTCAATGAGTTAATGATGATGCTGATC